AGTTCAAATCCAAGTTAGCCCAGTATTGCGTGTTTCTTTTTCTCTCTCTCTTTCTCTCTCTCTCTGTCTCTCTCTCTCTCTCTCTCTCTCTCTCTCTCTCTCTCTCTCTCTCTCTCTCTCTCTCTCTCAGATTGTCTCCGTCTTTCTGTGCATTATAAAGATATGTAGGCTAATTTGACAAAGCTCGAAGAGGTACGTACTACAATCTAGGCTTCCTCAGACTGAGGAAGCCTAGACTACATTACATGCTATTGTCTTTGGCAAACTTAAGTTTTCAATGTAAGAGTAGAATTCTGTGGTTTTAAAAGAAAACGGTTGGCCTTTTGTGTGTTAGGTGTAACCAAGGAGTTTAGAACTAAAATACTCTCTGGTAAAACCTATAATCTTGCCTATAATTTATAAGCTAGTCTCTGGTTGACATGTGTAAAAAAAATATGAATCAAATACAATCTACTCCTCTTCCTCCATCCCTACGACACTACTCATCGTCTGACAATGCCAGACACCAAAGAAACTTCGGGATGATACAATGTACATGTAATAAAGTCAGTACAAAAGTGCGTCTTTGTTTGGGCAATTATAAAATAATATAATAATTATTAAATAAATATTTTATTTTTCCGCCGTATTTTAATCGCAACCTTCTCCTGCTACGATTTTTATGTAGCCAGGTTCAAATGAGCAGACCTTTCACACTGGCATTTCTGTTCTTCCACACTTCAGGCTGAAAAACTGTAAACAAATCCGCATGCGAGTGTAATAAGAGAGTGAACATGGCTCGGAAAAAGGTATCTGTTCAAATTTTGTTTTGTGAGTCTGGACCGCGACCAGTTTGATTATTGCTGCCTGGTATATTTCACCAGATTGTTATGCCTCAGTGTTATCATCTATTGATGTTATTGTAGAGCCATATATTGTTAAAACCCGCACTTGAGATGGTCGTCTCCCATTATCGATAATTTTTATTACGACAGCACAGGCACAGGTGTAGCAGTCACAGTGACAAGCGGATAGTGTAGGTTGGGGCAACTTTGACAGGTTTGTGTAGTGCTGCAAAAGTAACTGATACTGCTCCCGCCTTTATGAAAGAACACAGACTATCTTGGTATCGTTGTGTCTAGCAGCCATTCTACTTCTCGATTATTATGTTCTTTAGAAGTTTAGTTGGTACTTTTTTTTTGTAGTTTCCACCCCCCTTATTCTTTTATGAAAGTGGCTATTCTCACCCGCCCGGAAGTTCTCACAAGATCAACTCCTCCCCTCTTCTCTCTCTCTGTCTCTTTCTGAATACTGTCTATCGGTGTAGACGATCAAATTGACCAAAACAAAGTTAAAAAATGATGTTAAAACACAAAAGTAAATTCATTTGGTTGTCTACAAAGATGCTATGGCTATTTAACTTTTCGAATCGAGCCGAACTACGCGGGTCGCCATTTTGTTTTGCCCGGAAATTCTCGCGCTACTCCTCTCTCTCTTTCTCTCTCTCTCTCCACTGCCCACAGACAAAATTGTACGCTTTTAGTAGGCTACAGTTGTAATGGAACGTTTGTTCACGGCACAGAATTCTACAATTTTTCTGTTATCACAGTGTAGAATTCTGTGGTTTAGGGTGAACGCAAAATTTGGTGAACGCGCACTGGGTGAGAATAGCCACAAGACTCGCCTGCACTATTCTCACTCCGGGTGAGAATATTCTCACTCCGGGTGAGAATAGAGGTGGCCTATTCTTATTTGAGCCTAGGTCTACATTGAGATCTATACGTTTGATGCGCGGCGAGCTAAGACATCAAACCTAACAACTGCAAAACATCAAATTATGTTAAAATTTGAAAACCCCCACCTTATTTTTGTTAGGTCAGGGGGGCTTCCCCCCCTGAAACTAGTGAAACCCCCTACTCTTGAGGCCAAAACTGGAGAAACAATTGCGAGGTGGGAACTACCGAAAAAGCGCCCTTTAGTTTAGTTTTTTAGCCCTAGGCCTACTCTTTTTTGCATTCCGAATTCAATTTCCGAATTTTTAACCAATCACAATTTGTAGCATACCCTCACTTGGGGCAACTTCGACAGGGGTTTAGCAATGCCCACCGAGCGCGTTTTGTTCTGCCGATTTTTGGTCCCCGCAGCGGGGGTGTTTCATGGGACGCACTAACGCAAAGGTTGTT